GCGATGCATAACAACTACTATCCGGTACGGATTTGTAAATGTCAAGAATAAGAGACCAATAATATTTTGGGTATGCATGTTGGTGATCAAAAATTCTGAATCATACAATACTAAATGAAGCGAAAATTTTTGACAAATAAGATGGATTTTGCACAAATCAAGAGAGAGGTTTATGAGGCGATCTCAGGTAAACCAATTTCGAAGTATATAACTAATGCACTGGATGTTATTGAAGAATCAATAAAGAAATATGGGTATGTGTAACATTTTTTTTCTGTATTTATTTTTTATTAAAAGTTAATGTTTTTAAAATATATAGAGTTGAAGGCCTGAGCCTCTCTTTCAATGGGGGGAAAGATTGTATGGTATTACTACATTTGTTCGCTGCTGCCTTGTTTAAACAATTCCATGATTCTATCAATACACTCAATATTCAAGCGGTGTATATTACATACCCAAACTCTTTCGCTGAAGTCGATGATTTTGTGAAAGAGTGTGTTCGCAATTATAAAATTGATCTCGTTACGATAGAAGGGCCTATTAAACAAGCATTGGAACAGAGACACCAGAAACCTAAAGAGGAAGATGATACTGTAAGTTAAATAATTTTGTAATCTGATGATTCATTAATTAATTATAAATTATATGTATTTATTATTATTATTATTATTATTTATGATTTATTTAAGTTTGAGGGATCAAATTTCTCAGCAACTAATAGATGTAAGTTCTTATTTCCTATTTATGCCTATTGACATTAGAATATGAGCTGATTATTTTTATTTCAACAGTTTATCGCACTCGTTCGACGGTCAGTGATCATGAACGAAATCAGCAAGAAACGCTAAATCAGCCTTCTCATTATAAACCCGGGCAGCGCAGAGAAATGGCCACGGATGATATAGTTGCTGAAAGGTTTAAAAAACGTTTACGCAGATAACAGTACATGATTATGTTTGCATTAAGATTGATTGGTTGATTAAAGCTTTTAATAGTAATAATTCAATTGATTAGTTAATCTATTAACATTATAGATATAAATAAAATAATAATACAAAATGCAATAAAACGTCCTTTGACATGGTATATACGTGCACTTAAAGAATTTGTGTGTTTAAAACTAGTCAATAGAAATATATAAACACATAATAACACTTCCGTAATAATGTGTATACAGGGAGGTGTGTAATTATAAATATGCACTTACGGAGGTGTTACTACAATTAACCATATTATATTTAATACTATATACTCGTATACATTAACTATTATCGGGTTGATTTGATTTTTCATGAGATTCATCTAATTGCCTGTGAGAACCACATCCTTCAGTTAATTCCTTTTCCTCTTTTGTTAGTCGGATCAAAGCAGCCTCCGCTAAGAGTTCCCGCTTTGACAGAACATTAGTACGGGTTGAATTTCCACCTAGTACATATGTACCGCCTTCCCATGAGTGTGCATCAATTTTTTCTTCCTCTGGTGGATTATAAAATTCTGCACTTGAAACCTTGTATGATTTTGACGCAGTCCAATCCATTGAAACTTTAAAAATATTAAATGAGCAAAACTGTCATACTTTTTTCGATAAAATCAAAAAAATATCATAAAACTTACCAACATCTTTATTTAATTGCCTGTTCAAACGATGAAAATTATCATCGTGATCGCTCCAAACATTATGCGTGAGTTCGTGTAGCAAGACACGTCTTATTTCAGGGTAATGCCTAAACCCCCGCATATCATCCGTACGCAATCTTAAAGAAATTAATTGTCCACCATTTTTGTTAAATCCTAAGATCGTTTTTTCGGCAGCTGTACAATAATTTGATTTATCATTAACATAACTACATAATTACAGCAAAAAACAAAAAAGGGGGGAGCTCCAGAACTCTTACGACTTAATTCCCTAAAAAAAAATAAAAAAATAAAAATAAGAGTTCGTTAATAAGTTAAGGACAAAAAAACCCGCGTAATTTAAAAAAAACTTACTGCAGTATTCCCACACTCCATTTATAGTGTGACATAATTCCACGGATGCCTCGATCATCTCGTAACTTCTCAAGTAAAGCACGGGCCCGATCGGGATTAGGAAAATGTTCAATTACTTCAATTTTATGAAATGTATATTTGCTATCAAATGAATTTTCCACTCTGACATTTTTGTATGGCTGTAAAAATTTTTTTAAAGGATGTTACGATTATAAACAAAAATTGTATTCACAAAAGAAGTTGCTGCTTACATTAATTGCATATTTTGACCTTAACGGCTGGTTTATAATCTTCGAATCTGCTTCTTTAATTGCTTGAATATCTTGCTGAGAACTTCCTACTAGCAATACTTTGATACCATTCTTAAAATTACATTCCAGCAGTGTAGAATCATTATTCAGCAGACCTGGAGAATAAAATACCATTTAAATAAGAATAATGTGATCCTGTAAAAATATTTCGATAATTTTACCTTTATAAAACAGTTTCTGGAAGTCTACAGGAATGCTCGTCTCCTCTGCAAGATATTCTTTTAAATTTCGAATCGAATAACTCGACTTTAAGTTTTCCACCTGAATAGTCTTGCCTTTAAACGTAACTTGAAAACTAACTGAAATTCATTAGACTTCGGTAAATGTTTATGCATTAGCGCTAATGAGTATGACATTCAGTTTAACTACCTACTTAAATCTTCAGCCATTAATGATAAATTTAGTGTATTTTAAATTTTAATTTACGAAATTTAGTGTTTCAAAACGAAATGTACACTTTATATAATAAATTTTTTGAATCATAATTTTTATATTTTTATTACAATATTGGATTACAAATAAATGTGCTGCTAGAATGTTCCTAATTTATAGCGTAAAACCGTTTATGTAAACTCTCGGACAATCCTTATGCACGTACAATATAAAATATTTTATTTAAAATGACAAATGACAAATAATTTTGATAATTTATTAAAATAGCTTTACCAATTCAGAAGTCTCGAATATTAAAAACTCAATATACTACATGTTAATATATGACTAAGACATGATCAAGTTAGATATCATCGCTTATTTCCATATAATCCGAAGGTGAGCTGAATTGCTGACTAAGTGATATAGCATCCTGTTTCCAAGTGCTCGCTAATCCTAATAGCAGAAAACGACATAGTAAAAAAAAAAAAAAAAAAAAAAAAAAAACATTTAAATGAATTGTAACTAAAAATTATTAAATACCCTCAATAATGTCCAGTA